AAAGGTTAGCTCATCACAGATTGACTTAATAAATATCCACAACAGGTATGGATATGCAAGGCCTTTCAGAAATAAGTTACCTAAAATGAAAGAATGTGACTGTCAAGGTTATTTTTGGCCATATCTGTCCATCCAACTGATGATGGCTTATCTTGGTACCTATCTTTCACCAAAAGCCCATAACTGTTTTATTCTAAAAACTGTGAAAGAGAGAGATCAATTTCTTCCAGGGTGAATGCTTTATTCTAATCTAGGAAATAATGACCCCCTAGTCCCAGCACAGAGTATAGGAGCTAACAGAGATAGGAACACTGAATGGTTCCCACAATTCTTTGGCCTCATTCCGCGCCCCCCCCCCAGCTTTTTGTTATGAAAAGCATTATATAGTTACACATCACTTAATGATGCATGTGGTCTAAAAACTGTGTCATTAGGCAGTTTTATTTTTGTGTGAACATTATATTTTCACACAAACTTAGTATTATAGGTCAATCAGTGGACATGGACTTTTGATAAAATTAAATGCAGTAAACATGAGAGTATGAGGCTATTGCCAGCATAACATGGCACAGTTTTACAGTAAAATTTCTTCTACTTGAGTAGAGGGAGTATACCCTAAAGTAATGATAAATAGTATAGTAAATACATAAAACAGCAATCATTTTTATTGTTATCAGGTATCATGTAGTGTACATTGTATATGCTGTAATTCTATAGGCCTAGTAGTACAGATTTGTTTACTCCAGCATCACCACAAACACATGAGGAATGTATTGCCTTGAAATGTTACATTGACTACATCATCAGTATATGATAGGATTTTTTCATCTCCATTATAATCCAAGTGTTTTCTTACTCTCCATTTCTCTACTCACAGAAGTTTTCAGTTACTTTAAACAATTTGATAATAAGTTACAGACATTATGACATTTCACCCTTAAATCCTGCAGGACTCACCTTCTAAGAATAATACTACTGTCATCTTGAATATTCCATATTTATATTTCCTTAAATGTACCAAGAATATAGTCATGTACTACATAAAGACATTTCAGTCAGTGAAAGTCCACATACACAGTGGTACACTAAGGTTATGTCACCTAGTGGTTTCATAACCAGCTTAGTTTATGTAAGTACACAGTAAATTTTTTTTTTTTTTTTTTAAGACAGGGTCTCAGTAAATTGCCCAAGCTGGTCTCAAATTTGTGATCTTCTTTCCTTAGCCTCACAAGTAGCTTGGATAACAGGCATGTCTTACCACATCTAGCCTGTGGAATGTTTTTCAAAACAAAAATCCTATCAAGGTTCACTCACTGCATTTGATTTTTATGTCATTAATCTTTTTTATTTTAGAACAGCACCATTACAAGTGCTCTACTTCTGAGCCACAACCCCAGCCCAAGGGCCACTTTAATGAACAAGTGAAATTGTTTAGCAGTACATCCTAAGGCAATAAATATAAAATATTATAAATTTTAATAGGTAATCAATATAAAATATTTTGCATTTTTTATACTTATAAAATTTTATACTTATAAAATTAATTTAGATGATATTTAGAAGTTGAGATAATACTTTCTTAAAACATGTTTTATACAACTCAAGACTAGTGACAGTTTAAGTGCTCACATGTGGCTTGTGGCCACTATTATGAGCAGTATAAATCTTGAGGCTTAATTATATTAGGGTTATTTGTTTTCCTACTGACCTGCATCCCAGCCCTCTTTTGTATGTTTTAAATTGATGATCACTTTATGAGATATATTGGGTACTTCATACTATATCTCATGATGATCCACTATATGTGATGCTAAATGCAATCATTGTTTAACATATCATCTGCCATATCTATCAGTCATAAAGGATTTTTGTCCTTTTGCAGTTAGAAGGTAATATGTGAGTTGATATTTGGGCGCTGTGTAAATATACCATCCCCAGCAAACTTCCCTTCATGATTTTAGAGTAATGGCCTTGTTTTCATGCAGGTAATTTTCCTCAAGTTTGGACACATTTGTTCTTATCTGAATGTGTTTGAAAACTTCCCCATTAAATGTGAATTATTAGGGTCTAGGATTGTTCCTATAACAACAAATGAAAGAATGAATAAATGTTGTATGTTTATTTCAGAGCCCAAACTTTCTCTTCCATTGACTTGGATGGTTGAGAATCAACATAAGTGGAACTAACCAGTTGACACTTAAAACCCTATTCTAATTATGGTCAGTTTATGGTCAGTTTGTTTACAGACCTTTTACTTTCTTACAGAATAGTAAATTAAGAATAACTAAATTTGTACCTCTGATACATTTTTCTTAAACAGGTGTCCACAAGAGAAGTCAGCACCAGGGACCTGATGATATTTACCTCGATGACTTAAAGGCTCTAGAACCTGAAGTTGCAGCTCTCTATTTCCCTAAAAGGTAGTATGTGCTTAGTATGTGTACTTAGGATAAACAGCTCTGAAATTATTGTAATCATTTCATCTAAGCAAAAAGAGCAATATGCTTATGTGTTAGCTAAATCTGATTATTTCAGGGACTGGGATTGTAGCTCAGTGGCGGAGTACTTGCCTAGCATGCATGAGGCTCCAAGTTCACTCCCCAGCACCACAAC